GACCTTAACAAACTTGACAGTGAATCGGTATCTAAGGTGGATAACCTAATTAACTTTGTTACTACAGAAGTAACAAAACGACTAGATGCTAAACTAAATGCTATTGTCTACAACGTTCTGGATAATGAGGCACTAAAAAAGGTACAGCGCATCCTACTTAGTGAGGCGAAAATGCCCAACTCCAAGACTAAGTGCTACAGGCTGAAGAAGAGTCCACATGACAAGTGTTGTCCTATTCGTTTTCAGTTCGAAACACCGGCTGAGGCCAGAAAATTTACCCACTCCCAACACACCCTATCGCAAGCCAGAAATTACAAACTAATAAAGGTTGCGGTGGACAAGACCGTCATAGAAAGGCGCGTATACAATTATCACACAGAGTCTAATTCTGGAATAAACAATAGGACATTGCAAGCAGCAATTATACCCAACCCTTTGAGAGACACCGTAGAATCCACCGCACCACCCCTCTCTAACCACACAGAATTATCTTCTCAGAGAGCGACACCAACCGAAAGGCCGCTAAGTTGTAATCAAATAGCCAATAAAACTATACCACCTACCACCGTAGATTTAGACATGTCACTAAATAATCCAAGAAAAAAAGTCAAAATCCCCCGAAAGTTGACCCTTTCCTCTCCTAGCCATAAGTCCATTGGTAAAAAAGAGAAGAATATGACCCCAAATCATGCCAACAACAACAATGGCAGTATAATTAAGCCCACATTCCCCTCGGTCAATAGTATTGGCACCCACAACGTGCGAAATAGCACCATGTCCCACACTGATAACCAACGTCAAAACAATGCCACCCTCAAGAGTACAAGTGACAATAGTCAGAACTCGACCACCAACAACTCAGGGCACTCACAGTATGGCACGCTAATAAATTTTGATCGGATATACGGTACAAGTCTGCTGGGAACTAACCCACAAAGCAGTACATTCGAAACCCTTACAAGGACACAACTAGTGCCTAACAATAGGTGGAATAATAAACCATGGTCTTCACAAGGTCCTAATCATTTTTATCCCCTGCGTCCCTGTCAGCGTTGAAAAACAGCTGGTAGGGATGCTAAAACTCCTAAACCGCTAGTGCTGGCGACCCCTTTGCATGAATGTAGGAACAGTCTAGTTCATCCGCATCCATTAAGCACACCTGATACATGCACAAGTTTAGGTCAAATAGAGATCTCTACCCATGTTTCCAGCTTAACTAAAAATAAAAATGCCTTAGCCTATAGCACATCAAGTACTCCAACGCTCAATTCTTCACCGAAAACAGCACACACCAACTGGATAGACATAGGTGAACATGATATTGAAACTCCTCTTAACATAGGGTCGTCATGTCAAACAGTACTACTGGGTGCTGAACCATATTCGGGGCTGATTAACAAACTTAAATACTTCAAATGCTATTTCAAATCTCATCTTTACCTGATCACCATAAATACTAGATCTGTTCTAAATAAACTGCCGATGCTAAGAGCACTCACAGTAATATACAAACGCCCTATAATTGTCATCACTGAATCCTGGTGTAACTCGAACATACTGGATGAAGAGATAAGCTTAGATAACTATACACACTTTCGGTGTGACAGGGAAGGTGGTAAGGGAGGGGGTTGCCTCATGTACTTTCTGAATACACTTACTGTATCACAGCTAGAAAGTAGTACACTTAACATGCCTGAGACTTTATGGGTTAACTTACACTTAAATAACGCAATGGTATTAATTGGATGCACCTACAGAGCACCTGGTACCTTTAGTAGTTACGAGACCCAACTTATTAATACTCTAGAACAATTATCCACCCTCCACTACGATCATAAGATCCTATATGGAGACTTTAACTTACCAGAAATCAACTGGGAAATACCCACAGGTCCAACTAAACTTGATAAGTTCTTGGGCACACTGGATATACTTGGCTGGAAGCAGACTGTCACAACCCCTACAAGAGGTAATAACGTACTAGACTTAATCTTCTGCCACAATATAAGTCCCCTTTCTACCCTAGTAGGTTCTGAGTTTTCAGGGAGTGACCACAAAACAGTGCTGTGTGCACTGCCACTACCGTCAAGTAGCAATGCAGCCCATACCCCCACTTCACAACAAATAACTTACAGGAACTACAGTAAGGCAGACTGGACTCTAGTAAAGTCAATGCTAAGATCCTCAGAATGGAGTGAGTACTTCTATACTGATAGCCTCTCGAAAGCTCTAGACATCTTTTACTATAACTCCAACACATGCTTAGATGCTGTCATCCCATTTCAAACACTAAAGTTTTCCCCACATAGAAAGACATTCATAAAGCCAAAGGATCGTAGGAAACTGAAAAGACTGTCAACTAGTTACTTCAGGCGACACGACTTTAGTACACTAGGGTCAATACTTAGTACTCTTAGCTCCATCTCGCAAGCTCATAACTTGCGTATGAGAAATGAAGAATGCACGGCACTAGCCAGCACCACCAGAGTAGGTGCTCTCACAGAAATCCTAAAGAAACGAATGAATCGCCAAGCCACAAAATTTCTCTCCTTATAAACAAGGGTAAACTATACAGCAAACATGCAGACATGTGTGAACTGTTTAATGAGACGTTTGCAGCTAACTACCTTAAGCCTACAAGTCCACTTCTCGGTTTACAATCTAAAATAGAACTCCCTTCATCTTCAACGCTGAAACAAATCACTACAGTTCATTTCACTTACTCTAATATTAACCAAGCCGTTAATACTCTTAAAAGCTCTAGTAGTGCCGGTTTTGACGGTATACCATCGTATCTTTATAAACACGGTGGTTCTGACATTTCCGTTTTATTACTCAAGATTTTTACAATGTCCCTAGAAAGCCAAACCTATCCAGATAAATGGAAAACGACATTTATAGTACCTAAACACAAATCCGGATCAAAAACTGAAGTCAACAACTATAGGCCAATCAATATTACACCCATAGTATCTAGAATCATTGAACGAATAGTTAAAGATGATATCCTCAAACATATGCTCAGCTGCAATATTCTAAGTCCAAACCAACATGGATTCCTAAAATCCAGATCATGCATGACATGTCACCTCGACTTCTTTAACTATATAACTAGCAGCCGAGACAAACAACAACTAGTACTAGTCATCTACTTCGACATATCCAAAGCCTTTGACCGCATTGACCATTTGCTTCTAATCAATAAGCTGAACTCCTTAGGAATAAGTAACCCATTATTAGGATGGATTGAATCATTCCTTAACAATAGGTCCCAAGTAGTTAGACTGGGGTCTGTAAACTCTAAACCTAGTTTAGTCACTTCTGGAGTAGTTCAAGGTAGCGTCTTAGGCCCCCTCCTATTCACTCTATATGTCAACGACATATGCAGCTGTTTCTCACTTGGCAAACCATTCATCTTCGCAGATGATCTTAAAGTAGCTTACACATTCCACTGTGATGACTTAGGATACTTTCAGAAAGCTGTTCAGGAAGAACTAGATCGAGTAACTGCATGGTCCTCCACATGGAACCTAAAATTCAACCTTAAAAAATGTGGTTGGATCTGTTTCGGTGCACCCTCAATAAACATTAAACTGGTACTTGAATCTCTTGACTTGCCTAAACTCCAAAGTGTTGTTGACCTAGGACTCAGGTACTCTAGTGACTTGACATTTTCTGAGCAAGTGGCGACACAGACGCGTAAATCGAGGATGCTCCTAGGATGCATACTCAGGAATTTCCACAACTACGAGGCGAAGCTATTATTATATAAAACTTGTGTCAGACCACTACTTGAATATTGTCCATTTATTCTCAGCAGCACTCGCGTAAGTGACAAACTTAAAATAGAAAGTGTCCAACGATACTTCACGTCTAAACTACTAGGATTTGACTGCGAAAAGGACTACACATCAAGGTGTATAACTCTAGGTATCGACCCACTCTGGATGAGACGACTGAGCATTAACCTAACATTCTTCTTTAAAGTCTTGCATAAAATATCATTCTCAGACAGCAAGGAGATACAGTTCTCACCGGAAAGCTCTTACAACCTTCGTAACCAAACGTGCACAGTATCTAGGAAAAACTGTAAAACAGCACTCCGTGCAAACTTCTTCATAGTCATGTACTCTAAGATCTGGAACAGTTTACCCCTAGAAATAAGGACCTGTGACTCTATTATAACCTTCAAACGCTTGCTATATAAACTGCTTCATCCCAATGACTATGCCAATCACACCGCACCACTTATTTCCAAAACGCATGAGCTATTAGAACACTATAACGCCTAGACTCATTACTAAATA